TGACCAACCCCAAAATATTGGATATGCCACAAGATCTAACGCTTTGGACCAGTCCAAAACACATCTAAATCGCTGAAAGAATATTGGCAGTTATACCATCGGGTACGACATAGGCTGCAGATTCATCACCTCGAGACCTTGATTTTCTCTTCGCGACCATCGACGATGAGATCGATGACCCGAAGTTGTTGTCCTCGTAGGGGCTCCTAGAAGCACCCCTCTCCTTGTAGATAAAGGTCACAAATTGGCCGCCTGCCGATGAAATTGATGCCTGCAACGGCGATCTCATCGTGGCAATCACCGAATTCATCGCAGGACACACGATCCTGACCGAAAATCATCTGCCGGAAATTTATTTAGACTCAATTCTAAGACACTAGAAAACTTCGGAAAAGGATGGGTGCCTTCCCTTCTTGTCTCCGATAGACGCACCCAAGAGGAAGAAGGAGCGAAGAGGAAGGAGAGAAGCCCTTGACGCGACGGCGGCGGTGGAACCAGGAGAAGGCAGCGGCGACGGCTCTACCCGGCGGCATGCAACGGCAGTTCCTTCTACATGCAGATGCAGCGCCCCTCTGCTATTCCGTGTAATTCTTTACGAGATAAGAATGTCAATTCTATCCCTATCCCATGCATGCATACAAAATCTACCTGATGCACTACTTTTTGAGAGGATAATTTATCTGCTCGATTGTGAAAGTTTTGCGGTGCTGGTGTCAAACTAGCAGCGTGATTCCAAAGAAAAAAAATCTCAATCGAGAACTTTACTCTATAATTATATATGCATGTGTGTATAGCGTATATATGTTCCATCGACAATACCAAGAGGGATTGGATGGGTCCCCATCGACGCTGACTAGGAGCATTCGAAAAGTAGTGATTGCCACCGTCCCTTTGGTCCAACATGTCGGCCTTCACCGCGAAGCTGTCCCCTGCCATTGTAAGTCCCTGTCGCACAGACGAGCAACCCCAGTGGGAAATACGGATACGGGGTTGCGCTCACGTCGTCCGGTGCAATGCAACATTCTCACCGTTCCGTCCCGCGAGTCCGTGACATTTTCCCAAATTGTCTGCCTGGCTGGATCTGCCAAGGCCTAGCTAGCCGTTGCTGTCTTGCTCCCCGCTATAAAGGCAACATTTGGCACGCAGCCGCCGCGTTGGCTGCTTGCACAGCGTGGCCGCGGAGGCCCGCCGCGAGCGCCAGAAGCTTCTTGTTTTCCCCGCCGCAGCCCGCAGAGATCGGATAGGAACACGTACGCGTGCGGCCGCGCTGTCGATCCCAGCCGGCAGCGGCCATGCAAGGGGCAATTCGCCGTGATCCAAAACGTGCAAAGGGCCGCTATCGCCGCGCGCCGCGAGTTCCCCAACCAACCGCGTCTCCCCTCTTCTATATAACCCAGCCCCCGTGCGCGGACGGCGGACCCCACAGAACGGTCAAATCCGGAAGCACAGCACACACCTCGTTCTCCCCTCGCAGTCGCAGCTCATCATCTGCTTCTCGCTTCGCGGTCGCGGCGCTCTTCGTTGCTTCCTTGGAACCCCTGCCTCTCTCGTGCGTGAGCCCGCCGCGGGCGGTGTTGAAATGGCCGTTGGGACAGGCGTGCGCGTGGCGCCGTCGCCGTCGTCGATGGAGGTGTGGGAGAGGAGGAGGACCGGTACGGTGACGGCGCGGCGCGGCGCCGCGGTGGCCATCAGGTGCAGCTTCGTGGGCGAGGCGGGGGTGGGCGCGGCAGGGGGCCTGGCGGAGGAGCACTACCGGACGCTGCGGCTGCGCCCGGGGTCCACCCGGAACGAGGTCAAGAAGGCCTTCCGCCGCCTCGCGCTCGTGGTGCGTCCATAACCTCTGTAGATCCAGCTATCAATCAATTACCATTATTCTGACGAGTTCGTTCGTCTCGTCTCCCCTGAGCCGTGCAGTACCATCCGGACGTTTGCAAGGACAGCGACCGCGACACCGGCGTCGAATTCCAGAAGATCAACATCGCCTATCACGTGAGCTTACTACGAGTACTCCTTACTAAACATTTTTTTGTTGTTGTTGTTTCTGTTTCTTGCCCTGACGGCTGACGCAATCCGTCATTGTGTGCAGATACTGATGAACAACATGAGGGAGGCCGAGGAGCGGCTCGAGTACTGGCGGCTCAAGTACGGCCTCACCGACCAGGATCTCGACAGATACAGGTACTACCTCAACGAAGACGACGACGACTGGCTCAACATGTGAAGAAAACTGACGATCGATCGTCGATAGACACGGATTTTTATACAAAGCGTGTTTATCCACATTGACCTTAGTGGCTTACCATCGATTAATTATTGTTGCCAATGGCAGAGGCAGCAGCACTGTATGTATGTATGTATGTATTGAAGCGTTTGTGATGTGTACTTTCCCCTGTTTTTATTTTTTTTCTCGAATACACATCAGAGCTGCGTATCATTATTGCATTTAAGAAGAAATGAGTTTATGTTACAAGAGTATCCGGCATAGCCGGTGGCACTGAAAGGCTACATTGATAAACAAAACAATCAGCAAGGGGAAGCCGCTGGCTAGTGCCGTTCAGCTAAAGCTCTCATTCCTGTCGCACCGGCTTCGATCCAGCGATCCGCTTCCATTTTGATGATTTGCAGCAGCTCAGCGATCGTCGCCGTGGCGTCCCGGAAACACCTTGCGTTCCGTTCCTTCCAAACCTGCCAAGACACCAAAGCAAATAGAGAGTCGATCCCCTTACGCTGGCTGCCATTGGCAAGCTTACGCAGCTTCCTCCACCAGGTAATGGTTGTCTGAGCTCCTTGGGGCAGATGCAAGCCGATGGCCTGCAGAACGAAGTGCCAAACCTCCCTTGTGAATGGGCAGCACGCGATTATGTGGTCAATTGTTTCCGGGGCTTGGTCGCAAAGGTAGCAGCGATCACGTGCATCCAGACCGTGTCTAGCCCGTCGATCTGCAGTCCAGTGCCTGCGTTTCATCGCCAACCACAAGAAGATCTTCACGCGGAGTGGAGCCCAGGCCTTCCAGATGAGGTTGTGACCTCTGAATATAATTGCCCCTGAATGCAGCATTCTGTAAGCCGACTTTGCTGAGTATGCGCCATCTGGTGTCCAGCGCCAAATTAGCTTGTCTTGCTGAGTATTGAGGCTGAATTGCTGGAGGGTGTTTCACAGCTCAAGGTACTCAATCACGGCAGTCTGTGACATGCCGCCATTGATGGAGCGCACCCACTGCCTATTCTCCAGCCTCTCCCTGACAGTTTGTCGATGTTGTATCTGTGCTGGGATTAACTGTAGGAGGCACGGTGCGATGTCACCGATGGATTCCTCATTGATCCATTTGTCTTCCCAGAACAAAGCCGTGCGTCCGTCTCCAATCCAGTAGAATGTGGAAGCACTGAAGAAGGCCTGTAACTCAGGAGCCGCTTTGATCGGCAGCTCACTCCACGCTCTGTCACTGTCTGTCTTTTGCAACCAAAGCCCCCGAGCTTGCAGGGCGTAGCCTTGCAACTTGAGGTCGCTGACCCCCAGGCCGCCGAACTGAGTCGGTCTGCAGACCGTCGGCCATGCCACCATGCACTTCCTGCGGACTGAGGCGTCGCTGCCCACCCATAGGAATTTCCTGCATATTGCGTCAATTTCCTTCCTAGCCCACTGCGGAAGGCTGTCAGCCATCATCGCGTAAATAGGGACAGCTCGCAGTACTGACTTGATCCACACCAGTCGTCCGCTCCGCGCCATAAGGGAGCCATGGCAAGGGGGAAGCTTCCTTGCTACTGCCTCGACAACGGACTGCACCTGTGCTTTTGCGATTTTTTTTTATGCTCAACGGCAGCCCAAGGTACTTGATTGGGAACGGCTGCACCTGACATCCAAGGATACTGACGATGTCATCCAGATTTTCATGCCCTCCATAGATAGGAGTGATGGAGCATTTGGCCATGTTTCTCCCCTGTTTTTATAGTGGGTGAAGGGATACACTTAGACCAAAGTGTAGTGACACTCGTGTATGCTCAGTATGATAACATACGGAGTATATAATATTTAAATTATAAATTATTTTAATTTTCTAAAAATATTAATTTTACTATATGCTACCTAAACTACCTATATATAAAAAAAAATTATATATCTAAAAAAATTAAAAACAATTTATAATTTAGAATGAAAGGAGTAACTTTAGTATCTCCAAATATATATAACATCTATTCCCAAAACTATTGGAAACAAACTAGAAGTCGCATGCTCCAATAGTAACCTAAAATCATTCGTAAAATTCCGGCGTGCCCAATCCATCTATCATCACTCCTTACATACCTCCGTATTTGCTGGTTCTCAATGCGCCCGATCCTGAGCTGACGGGTTATTATTCCCTCCCATTGAACCACGTGCAACCGTTAGCTACTTAGGCAATTCTCAATGCATGTTTCACGAGGTTTGAAACTCATTAAATAAGATATCGAATTTAGTATGTTTATTATGTGTTGATATCTTATTATATAATCTGTTTATAAAAATTATTTGATAGATATTTATAAGTAACAAATTAAATGAATATTAAAATACGAATCCGTATCCGAACTCTTCATTCTTTGTTAGTATCCGAGGGAATTCGAATCGGTATCCGACAAAAAGAAATAAGGTAATGATGACATTTACATATGCAATTCTTTACGTATTTGACTCGTTTCCATCCACGGGTGTTCCATGGCGGCGTCCTGTGTTTTTATGGGTCACGCATGCAACAAAATGAGGTGGCAGATTTTTCAAGTTTTTGGCAACCAACATGGGAACTGTTCGAGGACATTTTTATCTCTAAAAAACCATTTGCCTAGCTTCCAGAAACAGCCTTTTTTATGTGCAGATTCTTCCCTTCCTCGGACATCTGGTTTTTTTCCTCTAAAAAACATTTGGCTAGCTTCCAAAAACAGCCTTTTTATGTGCAGATTCTTCCTTCCTCGGACATCTTTGATGCCTTCTTCTCTTGATACTGTTTGCTTGCATTGCGACGGATCATGGCCGCCCTTGCCGCTGCCGTTCGCCCCTTCGCCGGCGGCGTCCCTCGTCGCGCCGCGCCTGCCCCTTCTGACGCTAGTGTGCGCGCGTCCGGGAAGAAGCCGCGGCGCGTCGTCGCTCCCGCACGAGACACGTCGGTTTGCCACGCCGGGGTCGACGAGTTGTACGTGCCCAGCCAGAAGCGCAAGATGACCTGCAACCGCATCAACGTCGAGACCGCCGCCGCCGACACGAAGGTCTTAACCGCCGCCGGCGAGATGTCAGCTCGGGAGCTCCTACATAAGCGCCTGGCGTGCGAGCTCGATGTCTTGAGCGGTCTCCTAAAGAAAGCAGAGCTTATATCCCGGCGTGGGGCATGCAAGGATGGCGCACCAACTGCCGGCAAGAAGGAGCGGTTCTTGGCCTCCAAACAGCGACCGGAGCCGATGGAGGATGGTGGAACTGGAGGGCAATGCGCCTTCGGTGAAGAGGAGGAAGATTTCAACTCTGGTGGAGCAGAAGCAGAAGCAGGTACGGGCGTCGCGGATGTCGCCAGAAGAGAGGAGTCAGCTTGCTGGTCGCCTGTCCTCGCTGTCTGAGGAACTGTCAGGGCACATCTTTGAGTTCCTGCTGAAGCACTTCGGCGATGCCGATACCCGTGGTGAGATCGAGATTGACTTTGACTCTGCGGAAGACTCTGTACTGTTCGAGCTGAAGACACAGCTCGACAAGTTCGCCCAGGAACGCCCCATCGTCGTGGATGTCCTCCCGGAGGAAAAGGACGAGAAGCTCGCTGAGGAGAGCAAAAGCAAAGGCATCTTGGTGCAGCAGGAGGAAGAGGACGTCCACATCTGCGGCGTGTCCACCATCGTCCAAACCGGCAGCAGGCCGAGTTCAAGAAGCAGCAGTGATCCAGACACGGGCAGTTACTCTGATCGCAAAAGCGACTCCGACGATTTCCCAGCTCTATGGGGAGCTCTTCCCGAGCAGATCATTGTGACGTCTGCGCAGCCACCGTCGGAGCCGGCATCAGGGGCGGCGCAGAGTGGTGAAGCAAAGAAGGTCCAAGACGTCCATCGCGCCGCGCCCAAGACTGTTTCCCTGGCCGGTCTGATCTACAGGGCGAAGGTTCGCCGAGAGCTGTTGGAGATGGAGAGGGCGGTGCTGCCCGACGAGAGCATCCACCCGCGGGACCTGCAGCGTCTCGGCATCGCCGAGTATGGCCGTCCCAGCATCATGCGGCAGCTCGGGCTCTTTCTCAAGGCCGACGACGCGTAGTGCGCGGCGAGCAGAAGCAGGAGCACGGGAGCTGTACATCGTAGAGCGTAGATGGCGTCATACTGTTATGCACTGATGGCATGTATTTTGTCAGTGTCAAGTAACTTAAATGAAAGAAATATTCTGTCAGGCAATGTGCTTAAGAGCAAGGCAGTTATTTGTTTCAGCGCTGAACACTCCAGCAACAATCTTATCTTAATTAGCTAAAAGACCACTGACATGCAACTAACCACAACAGCTAGCGAGCTTCCATCACGAGACCGAGGCTTGATTCATCTTGGTACGTTGTTTAACAGGTAGGGAGTGGTTTGTGGTTACGTATCACTGCAGATCGGTTAGGCCTGATGCCCTGACTGCAACAGTTGCCATCCGATGCTATGGAAGTAGCGAGGGAACAGAACAGCAGCCGAGCATCCCCATTCAGCTAGGTTTTCTGCAATATCTCACGTTCAATTGATGGTTCTGGTTGATGAGCATATCACTAGTGAAGCAGACCAAACTGTTAGTTTTACAGATGATCACTAGTTAAGCCAACTGACTCACCAACCAGCTGAGTCGGTTTTAACAAGCACATAACAAATCTATACCAGAAGGGACAGAGCAGATTGGTTTCACAAACCAAACAAGAATGGAAATTAGCAGAAATACAAGCATAATCTTTTTTTTTACATCCTGATGGATGATAGGATTCTTCTAATATGTATATCATATCTGCTTCATCGGGGGTGCTGCAGACTTGCCATCACCCGAAATTTCTAATTTATTTCTCATATCTCAATAGATGTATAAAATGTGTAGGGATGATGTACATTGTATGCTCAGTTACTGCTTTGCGTGTCACTTTACAAAATATATAGACTACAGACTAGCAGGCTGGAGCGGCTGGCTGGCTGGTGCTGGCCAGCCCTCTCACGCGGACACTGTTCACATGAACAGTGTCTTCCAGCTAGAAGATCATTTTTCTTTCACACCAAACCAGCCAGCAGTAATAATCCACGATCCAGCCAGCAGTGCCGAACAGGCTTAGGTTACAGCCTACAGCCCTACTCCTCGGCAGGTGGATCCACCCATCGGCCATGGTCCTTGATCAGCTGGATCAAGGCGTCAGTGGCACCTTCCATAGCAATGCCGCGCTGCACAACAGTCTGCAGAAAGAAAGATGCATTGTTTTTAGCAGGATGGGAACAGCAGCTTCGGGTATCCGGACAAGTAATTGCAGATCAAAAAAGCATTGTTCTATCACGGGCTCACAGCCGCATTTGCGTGCCCTCGAAGTGCTAACTGGACCAGGCAGCTCTGGCCAGTAGCCAACCTGTTTGGCCCAAGTGTTTCTGAGACCGGCAAACAAACAAATACGAATGCACAGCTACTACTCAACAACATAGTAAAACTTTCCATTTCATATACATGATTTTGGCAACCAAGCAATGGAATTGTTACCTTGCCAACGTAAAGGTCGATCTTTCCAGGAGCCCCTCCAACGTACCCGAAATCGGCATCGGCCATCTCTCCTGGCCCATTCACAATACAACCCATGATAGCGATCTGCCAGGCAAATATGTATACGGTTGATCAGTATAATTGATAGAATAGAAGGAAATTCATATACGGTTGATCTTTTTTGAAAGAATCATATACAATTGATCAGACCATATGTATTTGAATCAGAAAACTCACCGAGACACCTGGTAGATGAGAGGTTTTTTCTCTAATCTCAGCGCTGATTTCCTGAAGGTCAAAGAGTGTTCGGCCACACGAAGGACAAGACACGTATTCCTACAGCATTCACAGTCAGAAAATCACTTTTCAAAAAATTTATTCTCATCTCAGAGAGAAACATCAACAGTTATTTTTTGTTTGCCTGTTTCTTTTCCTTTTTTTTCTTTTTTTACTACAAATCTGCAAGTAGTGGTATATGTTGTCCACTGGATACAGACAGAGAGAGCCATATCATTAAACCAAAAAAAAAACATGAACGTACAGTTTTTGTGTTGCGCATCCTGCAACCCTGGAGCAAGTTGAAAGATGTGTCCCTCAGGAACTCAAATTCCTGGTCAGCAGCTTCAAGAAGTACACCATCACCAAGACCATCGACTAGCAGAGCACCATCGTTGGCCCCAGCACCAATGACAAGACCATCTCTGCATATAGTTAGATTAGAATAAACAAGAAAGCCATGACTCACAATTCCAAGGGGAACAAAATAGGAATATTGACAGTCACCTGTCAATGTCTTTAGGGAAATCTATGTGATGAATTACAGGGAAGTTCAAGCCATTGGCCTGTAAGTACTCAAATAACCTGGAAGACATAAAAAAATATTAAATATGTTAAACCTCAAAGGACAAAAAAAACTGACAGTGCTGTTGAGCATGATGGATAAATAAATCCTAAAAATCTCTTGTTTAATAGCACATCTTAATTGACCACTGTGTTTTCTTACCTCCTAGCAGCATGCACCCTGCCTGTGTTCTCCTCACCATATGGAACATTATGTAACAACATTGTTATATCATCAACGTCCTTAAGAATATCTAGCTGCTCGTTTGATTCATCACCACGAAGAGTGACAGCTACTCTAGTGCCTATACAAACCATAAAAATGACAAATTTATGAGATTAGGCAAAACAACACACTCTCTTCATTTCAAAATGTAGGTCTTTTAGTTTTATCTTAGTCAAAAATCATGTACCTTTGACCAAGTTTATAAGAAAAATATATTAACATCTATAATACCAAACTGAATTATCAAGATATATTTCATGGTGGATTTAATGAAACTAACTAGATGTTGTAGATGTTTGGTGCATTTTTCTATGGACTTTGTCAAAGTTAGAAAGTTTGACGTAGGACAAACTAGAAACAATCTTCATATTGGAACAGAGGGAGTACCTTCTCTTCTAATCTGAACTAGAAAGTCCATTTTCTATGATTCTATCTTCTCAGTGAAATATTTGTCCTTAAACTATTAGCAAAGAAACAATAATGTCATGGTCTAATTCAAATAACTACCTTCTGGCAAAAGTTTGTGTGCACCACTTGACAATTCGTCGAGGTTGACAAGTACAATGGCATGTGGGAGTGGCTTTGTCAACTGCTCAGATAAAGGGGTCAGCACACCCATGCTGATGTCAACTAATCTTTTGAGTGCAAGCCTCTGTACACATTCACAAAATTAGAGCAGAGCACTAAAAAAGGGAATAAAACGATCAACATATGCACTTGAGAGAGGGATAGAAATGTAGCTGTAACTCACAGCTTCAGCATCTTCTACAGGAGGGAGCTCCCTCAAAAGAATGGAGTCTACAGTAGCCAGATCCTGATAGCCATAGGAGAAATAATCTTCAACTAAAATCTATCTAAAAACAGTCGTGTACTAGCACATAAAAACCATAGAACAGACCTTGAAAGGCATGCCAACCACAAGCTTTGCTGCAAGAGACCTATAAAGGAGCTCAGGAGCCTGGCAAATAAAGGGAGCATTCATCACTACAGAGCACATTTATTCAGATGGCTAATCAATAAAGAGTAGTCACTGCAACGTGGAGTAACAACCAATTTTCAATAGAAAAATGCATGGAAAACAACAATGGTACTACTTAACAACTACTAGGTGTGGATCCTAAATAAAAAACCCCATGCTGAAATCCCTTTTAGTGTGTATTCCAGAATTTAACAAAAAAGAGTACAAAAGGTGCAGATTACCTTTAATTGATCCAGGGAAACTGACATCAGTACAGAACCATCACGATGCAGGACATTTCTGTAGTCAACTTCCTCACCCTGTCATAAGAGCATGAGCAACTGATAAGAAATCTAGCATTAGTAGTTTTTATGATCATAATGTGGAATTATTTTTAACAAACCTCCTTCTGCAAAGGCAATTGACCACTCCTACGCTGGAAATCAAAATAACGCCTATGCTTTTCTTCAAATGGGGCCTGATAAAACAATACAAAATCCAAGAGAATTAAATACTGCTTAAGGGAAAACACAAATAGTAAGAACTTGTATTTACTATATGGTGACTGGAAAGTATGGAAAGTGAAAGTCCATTACCACCCCAATTTGAAGGTTTGCAGCCTGTGCCCCAAGATTTGCCAACCTTTGGCAAGGATCAATCTCTTCTTCTGGTGGTTCTGTGAGGGAGACACGGATTGTATCACCCAAGCCATCCTGTAATAGAAGACACAGAAGATATTGTCCATGTTTTTCGTAGAACTTGCCAGTTTCCATAATTCAATTGATTTACAGGAAACTGCTAGTCTTGCACTTTATTATGTGTCATAGCATGGCAAATGTCCCAATCAGTTAATCCACAAAACAAAGTTTAATAATCTTAAACATAAATTCTTTCCAGTCAGCAGTTTGATTGTAGGGTTTTTGTTAATATGGAATCATAACATATCATGCTATGGAACTGAATGACAAAATTTATTTTAAAAATATTCATCCTCAAAGCTTCCAGCTATAAGCTCCAAAAGTATTCTTCATCCTGAGAAGAGGCTATCGTTTCCATGTCATTTACGTCGTTTCCAGATTAACCATTTGAAAGAGATTTAATTTCATACAACATAAATAAGTAGTAAAGCAATTACCATTAGCAGTGTCCCAATGCCAATAGCAGACTTCATCCTTCCATCTTCACCCTCTCCAGCTTCTGTAACACCCAAATGCAAGGGATAATCCCATCCTAGGTTATACATTTCAGCCACAAGCAGGCGATATGCTTGGACCATGACAACAGGGTTACTAGCTTTCATCGAAAATACAAAGTTGTGGAAGTCCAACTTCCGACATATCCTAGCAAATTCCAAAGCAGACTCAACCTGCAACATTGCAGAGAAGATGTCAAACTTTTATGTACTACTATTTAAATATTTCCTCGGAAATGAGATAATCACCATTCCCCGTGGAGAATCACCATAGTAGCTCATTATGCGGTCAGAAAGACTACCATGATTTGTTCCTATACGCATTGCTCTTCCATACTGCTTGC